GTTGTTGTCGTTGCCACTGTTGCTGCTGTTGTTGCCGTTGTTGTCGCTGCCATTGCGCGTTGTTGTTGTCGTTGCCACTGTTGCTGCTGTTGTTGTCGCTGCCACTGCGCGTTGTTGTTGTCGTTGACACTGTTGCTGCTGTTGTTTTTGTTGTCGCTGCTATTATCATTGTTGCTGCTGCTGCTGTTCTTGATTATTTATATACTTCTTCCTCAGGCGGCCTTGGAGTTACAAAAGCTCTATGACAGACAATCTAAAGAAGCTCAAGACCACGCCGAGATGACCGTTCGAAAGATCTGTAAAGACATGGCATCTAAAGGTTAGTTCTACTCTAACTACTCAGCAGTAATCTTGTCTGCAAATTATTTCAGACTCTTCGGGGGTCTTACTATAGGCAGACTAAAAAACCTAACTAGACTAACCCCTCTTTGGAGGTTTGGGGCTGGGTAAAGGGAAATAGAGAGTCTTCTTTTCACCTTCTTCCAGACATTGATGCCCACCCAGAAAACACCACCGCGCAGAGTATTCACTGATAGGACGGATATAGGACGCTTATAGGGAATTGCATAGGAAAACAAACATGGTGTTGCGCCTCGTAGGGGATAATTGTTCTTTTGCGTAGCACCTGCCTTATGGCAAATTATCTTAAATAAAATAAAATAAATGAAAAAGGCGCGCGTGAAAAAAAAACATGTTTTTGCTAGATTAGCCTCTAAACCAACAGAGGGTTTTTTCTCTTCGTATCAACACTTCTATTTAAATTGTGCTTCTTTTAGTCTGTTGGTTAAATAAATAAATAAAGTTTAAATTAAGACTCATTAATCGTCATTTGATTGCTGGTTTAAGGTCTTGAAGAATCTGAATCTATTGTCAATAAACACATCTCTGAGTTAGCACAGCAACAGGAGATCAAAGAAGAACAAAGACGGCAACATGCTCAACTTCTTGAAGTAAGGAAACAAAGATGAGGCAATTTATCGTACGATACATACATACATCTCTTATGATCTATGTTATTTATGTTTTCTTCTTCTTGTGAATATTGGATGCATATTTTAAAAGTAGTTCCATAAGGAAAAAAGCTAAAAAAAACCCGAAAGAAATTAAAAGAGATAAGAACAAATCGAAAATTAATGTAATGAAACCAAACGTAAAGAAATAGGGTGAAACGAAAAAGAAAAGAAGAGAAAAAAGAAGAAAACAAGGAATAGAAAGAAAAAACAAAAGAGGTGGAAATAAGGAAATTAAAAAAGAAAATAGTAAAAATTGCTTAAAAAAGGAAGGTTTCCTCCCTCTCATAGACCACTTCCTGGATACCCGGGTCAACTGGACAAAGAAGATGACTTTGGTCTCATCTTCAGTAACTTTATGGGTTCTTGTTATTTGGAAACGATTCTCCAAAGCACTGGATACCCCAGTCAACTGGGAAAAGGAGATTTGGTTGGTTTAATTTGAGTAACTATATTGGCTCTTGTTATTTGGAAACGATTCCTCAAAGCACTGGATACCCCAGTCAACTGGGAAAAGGAGATTTGGTTGGTTTAATTTGAGTAACTATATTGGCTCTTGTTATTTAGAAACGACTCTCCAAGCTGCGTAAAGCACTTGAGAAAAAAGCGCAGGAAGACATGGAAGAACAAGAAGATGTCCGTGAAAAGGAGCAACAGATCGTAAAGTTAGTATAAGCAAAGCACTTGAGAAAGAAGCACGAACCTTCGTAGGCGAGCGGGAAGTGTTAAAGGAGACGTTTTTTTAATGCCTTCATATTTTCGAAATCGTGAACTGAATCATAAGTACTTTGTTTTTGTTTCCCTAAACCCAAAGACATGCATTTGATGGATTGTTTCTCGCCATTACTATCTTGTTACTAGCGGGAACAATCAATTCAGAACGAATATTTAAAACCGCTTCAGTGATTTTTACCCATATTCCTTTCAGTCCAGTCGCGTAGGCTTGAGCCGGTCGACGACAACGTTTTTTGACTTGACTGTATGCTGAATTATTAATAGGATGATGGATCCACCATAAACTATTATCAATTTAAATACAAACAGTGACCTGATCGTCAGTCAAGTTGTCATGTCTGAAGAGGAACGAGATAAGATCATCGCGGAACACGAGAAGAACATGGCTGAGCAGGAGAGCAGCTTGACTTTAAATAAGCTGAGACAAAGACAGAAACTGGAGGAAAAACTGGCTGAAAAAAGAAAACGAAAAATGGAGGAATTGGAAAGAAAGCAACAGGAAGAGGAACAGGTATAAGAGAGATGTGAAAAAATGAATGAATGAGTGAATGGGAGGTAAGGAAGGGGATGCATCAATCAAAAACTGGGAATTATGAAAACAATGAATGATTGTATATTCATCAAGGTATATTATAATTGCTATACGTCCCTTCAATCTAATTTAAGGCCATACTGATTCATAAACTTCATCCGATCCAATTCATGTCCATTCTTATTCTACTACCACATTCAATGCAGATCATTGTCAGGGGTATAGGAAGAGGGTGGGGTGTGGTCTGCTTGTAGCCCACCCCCTAACTTTCCATGCTTTTCTTATAAAATAACTGAACATTAAAAACATTGTATTGCAGTTCAAGGATTACGGGGACAAGATAATAAACGAAGGTGAAGATATCGAATTACTAAAGAAGCACGAACAGCAAAGGGTTGAGCTCTTGAAGGAAGATGACCAGGCACTCGAGGAAGAAATGGATCAAGTACGAGAAGAAATGATGAATGAAAGAGCAAAGAGACTAGAAGAACACCAAGAAAACTTAAGCGCGACGATCGCAAAGTTACAAATAGAAAAGGCAAAACGGGTGAGTAAGGAATCTTGAGACTATCGTGATAGCTATCATTTCTAACTACTACCAGCACCTACTATGATCATCAGCATCATCATCACTATCATCATCATCACCATCATTATCCGCATCATCATTATCAGCATTATTTATAAGCATCGTCATCATCATCATTCATCATTGTCGTCACCATTATCATTAGCATCATCAAGAACATCACCATCACCACCACCACCACTAACATCACCACCTTCATAACCATCATCATCATCACCACCAGCATCATCGTCACAAACATCATCATTCCATTACTGATCATTAGCAACAGCATCATCGTCAGCGTCATCATTATCATCATTATCAGTACTGAAAATCAGCAGCATTATCATCGTTGTCATCATCATCAGCATCAATACCATCATCTTCATTATCATCAGTATTACCAACATGATCAGCATCGATTTATTATCATCATTATCACAATCATCATTGTTTTTCTCTAATGTTACATTTTTTTGCGAGTTTAGGTCTCTCGAATGGCCATCCAACAACAAATGTTGAATCAACTCCAGACCAACCTCGTAGACGAACTTGAGTCCCAAGGAGCTTTAAAAGACCCTGAAACTCATGAAATTGTAGAGAAATACAAAAAAGATGCCAAGAAAGTGGAAGACAACCTAAGAAACCAAAGGAAGAAACAAGAAGAGGTGATTAGAACAGAATGGTTGGTTGGTATGTCGATAGATAGATAGATAGATCGGGTGGTTGGTTGTTTAGTTGATAGTTCAGTCGATAGTTTAGTCCAGAACTGGACCCCACTTTTTTCACAAGCTGATTAAATTACATCTCAAAAATAAAGGAAATACCGCGCTCACGCGCAAAGAAAACAGAACTGGACCCATTTTTATCGTTACAATTCATACCAGTCTATTTCGCTCTTTGGCTCCTTTCCGCCACGCGCGCGCCGATAAAAGTGGGTTCAGTTCTAGATTATTGTTAGTAAGGCACGTCAGTTTGGTAGGTTGGTTAGTCGGCGAATGGGTTGGTGGTAGTTCGATAGATCAGTCGATTGGTAGGTCGGTTGGGAGGTGGGTGATAGTTTGGTAGGTCGGTGGATTAGCTGGTTGGTATCAATGCGGGCGGTTGGTTAAGAAATTGGAATTTTTAAATTTAATTTTTTCTCTCATCGTTTTCTCATTCTTTTCATTACTCAGGATCTTAGGGCGCGTCTGCACGAGAAGATGAAACAAAGGGAGCAAACAATGCTACTAGAGAATCAGGTAAAGTACCACCTGCACCCCAGTGACGTCACAACAGTTGTCACTTGTCGTGGGATCCCTGTGTGTAGGACAACTCAAGTGACTTTTAAACAACACTTGTGTCGGGAACCCTGTCGATAGAGCATTGACATTCCTCTAACGGATTATTTTCCTTGTAGAATAAGTACTCGAGGTATTTGGAGGATGGATCCAACAAAACTGCACTGCGCTTCCGAAAGGCGGCAATGAAAGCAAAACAGGAAAAAGAGATGGAGAACTTGCGAAAGATGATGGAAAAACAAATCGAGCAATCATTAAGTGAACTCAAATTGAACCAAGAGCTTCAACTTATGAAGAAGACAGAGGAGAAGGTATGAACTGCATGTGTCGTAAACTGGGCTCCCTGTGGTGTGTAAATCTCATTTCGGCTTCATCCACAGAATGTCAAGTTCATCGCGGCCCTTGTGGATAAGGGACAACTGAAAGAAGAAGAACTGGAATCAGTGTTGAAATTTCTCTTTCCTAACAAGTAAGTCAATGACAATTTTCTCTATAGTAACTTAGAGAACCTCGTTATATATCCTCCTCAGCTCCTTCTTTACTCATCTAATTATCCGCCCCTGACCTCTACCTAACCCGCCCCTATTTCTCTCATAAGCGGAAAACTCAGTTTTTCAGCTGACATTTGTGTGCAACGGAGACTGCAACTCGACTCCATGTAACATTTGTAACATACTATCCCGTTCTTGTACCCAGACCCCTCTCGATTTTCCCCTGAGAATGGTCTGGGTACGAGAAATCATACTAACCTTGTATGCTTTCTTAACTCTCTTAAATTTTCATAAAAAGCGGAACTACTTTCTGCTCGTGCAACTGAAACTTGTTTCGCGTGGCTTTACGAGGAATTGCGCCCTCAATAAAGGTCATCATACAGCTATTGCCTCATTCAGCGCTATTACCCTTCTTTCGGTTTCTGTACTACTATTGTTGTTATTGATTCATCTACTATTACCTGATTTAGGCCGCCCGAGTACATTGATACATTATTAGAAAGAATTTACGGTACCAACCATCCAGGAACTAGCTCATCGTTCAACTCAGGGTAAGAGATAGTAAGGTGGACACCACTCTCATAAATCACTTTTTTTTATTTATTTAAGTGTCTTGTCGTTCTAGCGCTTTCGCACTAATTGGGGACACTTTTCACTCACACGCACTAGCACTACATTTAATATTCTATGCACACAACGCTCAACTCACATGTTGATTTTTATGGAGGGAGGAAACCGGAGAACCCGGAGAAAACCCTCGTAGCATAGGAGAGAACAACACATCAAACAAACTCAATTCACATGTGGCGACCGCAGGGCTCGAACCAGCGACCCGACCCGTTGGACTCACAGCGGTGAAAGACGACGCGTTAGCCGCGAACGCCACCCATGCTACCCATATAGTCTTCTCATACAGACACTGTAAGTTTGGTCCCGACCAAATTCATCTTTATCTAGAAAAACTCTGTGTATTGTGAGCATCTTTTTTCGGAGGACACCTCTATAATACATGCAGATAATATAAATTTGGTCCCAACCAAATTCACCTACATCTAGAAACACTATTATACTCTTGTATTGCGACTACCTCTGTAGGACACCCCTCATTTATAAAGCTTTTCTGAGACAAGCATCTTTTGTTGATCATGCCTCTGTTGTTGTTTGTTCCGAAGCTAGACCCGGATGCATCCTGTTTACTGGCCTATAGTTTGGTGTCGACCAAATTCATCTACATAAAAACACTCTATATATAAGGCAGACATCTATTTCTTACAGATATACCCTTATCTTCCAGACACCATAGTTCCACCATAGTTCCACGATCTTAAGGAGGTTCCACCATGCATTTATAGTAAATATTTCAAATTGAATTATTTTCTAGCGAGATGAGTCAACTAGAGGTACGCGTTCGTCGTTCTAGTGTAAAGCCAAGTCAAATATTTCAAAGGTAAAAAACCGAAATCTTATTCTTAATATATTAACATTTAGAATACACTCATATTTATACCCATAGTTATATGCTTGTAATAAAAGTACTCGAAATATCCAAGAATGTTAAGAAAATATGTAAACTGACTAGTCTTCAGGGCATATAATAGTAGTCTTGTGTACTAACCGACGTCATATCCCGCTTAAAAGCAGTAAAAAGAAGAAAAAGAACTCTAAACTCAAAGAAGAAGAGGAATATGAAAGTATTTTACCACCCGTCGTACGAAGCAGAGAAAGAAGGCCCATTTCACTAGAGGGCGATCAAAGCAGCACATTAGATAGTCCTAAGAGGCTCAAATCTTTACCGATGATAAGCTCTATCTCTCAACAAGCTACGTCTCCTGGCAACGAAGAAGACCAGAGACTGCTGGACGAAATGTTTGGGGACGCATCTGAGGTAGAATTTAGAAAACCAAGTAGAGGAAATGGAAGTCGACGAAGTGATAGGTAAACATTTTAGTGTGTTAACGTTTATAGCATAAGTAATTTATATACTTAGCACAGGTATAATCATTCACAGTACCAGGTCGTCATGTTTTGTTACATTCCACCAACATGGCGGCCATGACGTAATTGTATTTATGTGCATAGCTTTAGTAACATATACTTAGCACAGGTATAAGCATTCAGAGTAACAGGCCGCTATGTTTTGTTACATTCCTCCAACATGGCGGCTATGACGTCACATGCACGCCATATTTATAAGGCTTTTCCATATACGAATTTGCGACCAAATTATTGATATTTAAATGAGCAATAGTTTTTACATAATGTTTATGAATTTATTTGTGTGGGACAAGAAAAAAATGAGGCAATGGGAAGTACAAAAAAAACAAATTTAGGAAAAAAGGGGAATCATTTCAATTGCAATTTTAAAATTTTCGAAGGAAAATAAGGTTGAATTTTTTTTCCTGGTTGAATTTTTTTTACATAATATCTTTGCGGTTTAATATTTAAACATGAAAAATATCTTATTTAAACAAACTAATATTTATAATATAAGCAAATTGATTTATCCATAGTAAAATTCAATTGCTATTTATTAGATATTGCGTTCCAAGTATCTATAAACAAGTAATGTAGTGTAAGCTGTACATACTGGTAGTTAATAATTTTGTATTTATTCCAAATAAAGAATCCTGAAAGCATTATTTTTGAATGATTTGAAAATGCTAAAGTTAACATAATTTTTTTAATTTAAAATCTCATATACAGAGAAAATCTCTATTGTTTATATTTTAAATGCAATAGCATTCCTATCCCATCAGTTCGTAGAGCACTCTCGAATATATTTTCTAAAGATTTGGAATTACGTAATGGAAATTCTTCGAAGCGAGCRTGAGGTTTGATAGGTCCATGAAGAACTATATTCGTACAAGTGGGCATGCATGAAGGCAAAAGAAGATAGGACCAAGGACGGAGCCTTGGGGGACGCCACAAGAGGTCCAAGAATAACTATATTCATACAAGTAGTACAAAAAACTGAAAGCCATGCACTGAGTACCATTGAGGATTAGAAACGTAAAAAGTTAATCATTTTTTAACCGCCTCTAATGAACTTGAATATAACTGGAATGACAGCCGTTGCGTTGAAAAACTTTTCCAGAGTGTTATAATTGCGCATTGGGAATTCTTGAAAGTGAGCATAAGGTACAATGGGACGATGAGGAACAATGTCCATGCAAGTAGTTGGTGAAAAACCCAAAGAATAATAATATGTTTGCAAGCTGTAAACAAATAATGTAAAATGATATCGATATTGCTGGGGTACGCGTGTTTTCTCCCTCTCGATGGCATCTGTCATGACTTTTAACTCGCCAGTGGTGTTCGTTGGGTATTTTCGGTGTGATAGGTTCTGTACCGTTATCCCAGGATACATAACAGCTTGTCCTCTGAACTTAGCCTCAATACCAATGGAAACTAATCGATGTGAATGCCACCAACAAGTACTGTCGAATTCCTCTGAATAAGGCAGGAGGTGAGAGATGGCATCTCGGTGGAAGCCATTCAGAATGGGATCAAAATGGACCAATGGGAGTAATGACAGGTCTGGTTTGTTATGGCAATGTTGGCGCATTGCTCTTATCAAGCTAGCAGGATTATGTATTACGTAGTCAACAAACCCTACCGCTGGCTCTATTTCAAGAAGAAAGTTCTCAAACGTACGCAGCTCTGGTTGTTTTGTCATAGGCTTGTTTGCAAAAGAGTTATACTCGAGTCTGATATCATCATCAGCAAATATATAATAACGATAATCAAACTTTCTTGCTCTTGAATGTCGATAGAGAAGATTTCTTCCCGATGCCCATGTGGTATTTGGTGCGTATATGTACTRGACATGAATGTTGGTCGTTTCCTTGCATTTCTTTTTGAAACTAAGAACGATAACATCACAACGACAAGCTGATGCGTTTCCGAGTAGTTCCGGCCCTGCAAGGTACGGTGGCAAACAGGATTCAGTTTGCGTCAAATAAATGAATTCCTTTTTCGTGATGTTTGATGGTGTTCTTGATGCAGCATTAGTTACTCTTGCAGTCTCGGCACCTGTCTTATTACTCAACACCTTAACACATCTTATTGAGATAATACATTGTAATGACATACCAAGCAGTAATAAAAGACTCAAAGTAATTAGAATCTTCCGTACTTTTCTAACCATAATGTAACGATAAGGTTCGACCCAAGTGCTTTTTACAATAGACAATCTTTTCAACACATACATGAAAAGGGAGACCTTCTTGTACATTTAATTATGATGCAAGCGTGGAAAACACTAACTAACTTTGTTGATCCAGGATTCGTTCTTATGGTAACGGTTCCACTCGGCTGGGTATTTCGACAGCGTCGGTGTGTATTCATATCAACAGATTGTTTCGAATTTCTTAAAACAATTTTCATCGAAAGAAACTTAAAAAGAAAACCGACTTTGAAGGAAAGTAGATTTCTTTCGTTTTGAACAGTTAAGAGTAAAATTAAGAAGTATTTATCTCGAAGTGAAAAATGGGAACAATAGTAGTCTATTTCATTAGATAAATAGGGTCACAATCTTATTAATACAAGATTATTAACCTAATTTTCTGATGTTATCAATAATTTCTTATTACACCAATTTTACATAACAAGGCTAAAAAAATTTGAATAAGGATCCATTAATAGAGTTTAGCATTTGAACGGTATTTGATCTAAAAGACTATTTCTGGGTTGAAAAACTTGATAGCTTCTTGACAAAATGCTTTAATATAAGAGGTGAAACGCATGAGAAATTTTAAAAGATTTGGGTGGATTATAGATTTTTTCACCAGAGTCAAACACTGTCGATCAGTTATCTTTCCTTAGTTTCAAATACGCCTCAAAAAGAGCAGACACCTATCATACATACAGTTACTTTGTAGTGACATAACTTAGATATCAGACGAGCGAAGTAAACACAAAGTCTTGCATTTGTTTGCAATAGCACTAATATATTGAGCTGACTGGGTAAAGGGTTCTCAGTGTGCTTTAACACAGGCGGATACCTCCATAAAATAAATTATAAGATATTCGAGATATAACGCGGGCTCTGATTGGTTGGCCTACCGTATTTATATCAGAAGACAAAGACACGCTCGCGAAAAGTTGCTGGAGGACTGGGTACGAGATTGGTTCACCTACAATCTCGAGCCCAGAGTTGTTCGGCTTTTTGGTCAGCAGCCTTGCCGATTGAGTCTCTCACTTATTTCTGTCAGGCCGGAAGTATTCCATATAAGGAATGTGCCCACCTAGTCATAGCAGAGATAAGGTTCTTCCGGTGTTGTTGCTGTTGTCTCAATTCAGTTATCGAGATTACATGAATAAAAGTGCGTTCAAGTTGAACCCTAATTTCAAACTCACTTGCGAATAATATTCATTATTTATCACCTTCAAATTTGTATTTTTACATTCTAGTAAGTTGGACGTTATAGTTTTGATATACATAACAAGATAAAGAGACCAAACAAATCCCTGAATTAAAAGTTAAAGAGAATTTGTCAGATTTTTAGAAAATTGACAGAGTCAGATTTGAGTGAGACAGATGATAATGGAAATCATGCCTAAAGATCGTCACTCAACATCTTCTTTTTCTAATACGTTTTCACCGCGTGTGTGCAGCTTGTTAAGCTCAGCTGACATCGACTCATCAAAAAAACTCATCTTTTGAACGCTCGCCACAGGTCTTTGAAGATAATCAGTGCATCACATGACGGATTTTGGCCAATCACGCTCCAGTATTTACCTAGGCATTATCACTTGTAATGAGTTTAAAGTTTTTATGAAAATGAACAGAGTCTGCCACAGATATGAAGGATGTCAAACATTCGAAGGAAAATGAAGCCGGGTAAAAGTCAGACGCTTGGGAAATTTTTAAGTTTTTGAGTCGCAGATCGCTTTAGCCAGATGTCGAGTCCGTACAAACAAACGCTGGTTATTTTTCTGCGGTTTTGTAAGTAAAATTGTTGTTTTTTGCACTGAAAAATTCATGTTTACTCCCATTATGCATAACCAAACATTACTCAAATGACTTCTCATTTCTTTTTTTCTTTCTTTTTTAACATTGTAGTTGTAATGAAGGTAGTCTTTGCTGCCCTTCAGAATGACGCCATTCAATTCTCGTCCAACCAAGAAGTTTTCGTCGGTGAAGATGCAATTTTTAAGTGGTCACTTAATGAAAACTTGGCTAATAACATTGGCGATGTCAAATTTGGAGTCGTGACAAGACCAGCAAAACACGGTGAACGACTTGACGCGATTTTACTCAGGACTCTCCCTTCGGGGAAAACCAAGTGGAATCGACATTCAAGTTATGTTACAGCGTATGTCAATCGTACTGAAGTGATTCAAAATGCGCTTGCAGAATTCAAAATATCGAATGTTCAACTAAATGATACATCAGAGTACTATTGTACAGTGCGAAAAACCGATGAAACTCAGACAATGATAACTGACTATGTCCAACTCAAAGTAATCGGTAAGTTCTTGTAATTCGCTTTTTGAAAAATGAACTTTTTTTCGTCTGAATTACTTAGTAATTATAAATGACAATCCCTACTTCAAAACTTATGAATAAGACATTCTTTACAAGATTTTTGAGATTTAAGTTCTTGGACAATAAATGATGTTGTTTCCAATGGCAGCGGATGTACAGACGAGCTACTTTTGAAATGTCATTGTCAAAACAAAACAAAATATGCTCAGAGAAAAAATGAAATAGAAAAAATAGACCTTGCGCTTAATTCGCTGGAAAACTTTATGAAAAATCGTTTTTATTAAATTGAAATATTTCAGTCTTAAGACTAAATGCTGTCTCTAAGATACATTCTAGTTTTGGTCAAATCATCTTTCAAGAAACATTTTAATTTGGAATTCATAATCGCTTTCAAACTTCGTTGTTTATGATCTATGGTTTATGCATTTAGATTTGCAGATAGGTGTTCATTCTTCACTTCATCAGAAGGTATCTTTTGAATATTTTCGAAATATTGACGATATTAGCAGCTCCTTAGCAGATAAGTCTGATTAACTTGTTTTGGCTTCCTGTTAAATAACTGCCAAAACTACCATGAAAAATAAATCATTTTTTATTTTTATTTATTTTTTTCAAAAAAACCTTTTAGCCCTTACTCTTTTGAAAACGAAAGCGTTTTATGAGTGAAATTTCAAAAAAAAAAAAAAAAAATTAATTAATTAATTTTTTAGCAAAGCAAAAAGTAATCAATTTGCAGTTTTCCAGGTGTTAAATCTACTTCGCAACGAAGCATGAATTTTAAACAAATTTAGAACAAAGATTCTGTCTTAAAACAGTATGTCCAATAGATAAGAGCCTTAAAGCCGGAAATGGAAAATGGGAGTCTGAAAGGTGTTGATCTTGGCCGAAATTAGTTTCTTTTTGCTGAATACTGAACTCCGTTGCTTTGTTTATCTTTGTTTGGACTTTTAAAATCGCTCAAAACTCTCAACTTCTACTTGAAAATTTTTTTAAACCTAAAATCTTTTGTGAACTTGAGAACCAAGTTATGATTCTTTGAAGAAAAGAAATTGAAGATTCTTATTTCAACATGAATATTTCAGTTTTTATCCCTTTTTTTTATTTTTATTTTATTTTAATTAATTGATAGGAAAACTATTACAATTACCATTTTTATCATTTGTTTATCTATTGTACTCAGAATTATCTTAATACGAAGAGACAATAAATTTGTATTTCAATCTCTACAGTTTCCTCTCCTCGTCCTTTTATTCATACGTTCATTTTTTCCAAATAAGTTGATACTGAACATGAGCAGATATGAATACCTGGTTTAGTATGACATTCAAAAGCTGGATATCTTTCTTACCATTTAATAAGATAGCAGAGAAAAATTCTAATTCTGATTATACAAAAAAACCAATGAAAACATTATTGAAGGCGGAAGAGCCACACCGCGTCTTCTGGCTTAATTTTAGCTTTTTGCACATTTATTCTGAACTGAAGTTAATTACATAGAAAAGAAAACGAATTATCCATACATTATTTGAATTATTTAGGTTGAAGGATAATAAAAATCGAAAATTGTTGGAGATTCGTTTCCAGTTTAATGATGAATCCATCTGTCTTGATATTGCTGTTGCCATAGAGATTTGATCCAGCGTGTCTTGGGGTACAACATAATATTTTGTAAAAAGAAAAAAAACCTAAAAATTAATTTTAACTCTTTTGTCAATAGCTTCAAATGCAACAATGTAAAATTACAGACAAGATGAATGTACTGTCTAACTGTTTTTCAGTCTATTGAGTGCTTCTTGAATAATTTACGAACCATTCTTTTATCGCTTGAGGCATTTTGCAGGTGTGAAGGGAGAATGATTTTTTTTTCTTTTTACTTTTCTCGAAACCCAATCTCAAGCAGTCGGTCTAAGTCAGCTTATCAATTATAAAAGAGCACTTTTCGTATTGTTTTTCAGTCATAGATTTTGACTCCAACCTCAAAAGGTTTCTTAATGTCGTCTTAAACTCCAATATCTTTGGCGGTATCTTATATCGTTTGGTTTCTTCAAAAAGAAACCCTTGTTTTTCATTCGTAGCAGCTGAAATCACCTGTAAAATTTTCATAAACACGATATAAAATCTTGTCGAGTCCAGGTACCATAGAAAGAAAATTACCACGACTGAATATTTTTGAGTCGTATAATTAGTCAATTTGTTTTATAGAATTGATAACCGGTCTTGCGCACCTTAGGGAAAAAAGTCTATTTTTCGTTTTTACTCAGTGTTTCTGCTGTATTTATCTTGTGTCGATAAAGTTAGGAGCAATAAAAATGTAGGACAAATAAAAAAAATTATGGGCTCTTGACAAACCTTTAGAAATAAATAAATGTATAATGCCATATGGCTTCATTATAGCCTTGGTTTTAATTTCCGTCATCTTTACCTTTTTGCCTTCTTATCCATAATAATGGCAATACACCCACTACGTTCAATGTTAGCAATAAGCGCATAGAATAGCATGAAATATGACAAGAATTACGGTAATAATGTCTTTTGGAATAAAACATTTCAACGATTCTACAAACACCGCTGTGTTTCTAGACTGCGGGCTCCGTTGAAATTTCACAGAATACCGCTGCGATTGTTCGTCGATTGTAGGCTCATTTCATTTGGTCTTTTGTGTTGCCTTTTATAATTTAGCAATTTTTATATTTTATAATAATAATAGTTATTATTTTTATTATTTCCTAAAAATGACTTTAGTGACTTAATCCAATGAGGAATATTTAATTTAAGCGGACAAAATGATGTAAAAAAATTGAATTAGAAAATATTATTTAGATACGAAAGAATTCGATCACAAAGCCACGTCCACCGACAGAAATTTTTAAAAAAAATCGATTTCACTGTGCCATACCCCCGAGACATCCGCAGAGCTGAGGCGGCGTATGGACTTCGGACCTGACGGCGATTAAATCCTTCTGCCCTTGGGTGCACGAATTACGCAAGAAAATGTTCTAGCCGAAGCATCAGGGGAGAGACCAGCCGGCCCCCAGACCATGTCGGCTAATCCCTTGCATCTCTGCCACGCACGGAATCGGTTGAGAAAATAACATCAAAAAGTCTAGTCTATCTGGTGCATTGTTTTCACGGCTATTGTTATGGAAATTTCTTAGAAGCGTGGTCCAGTGGAAAAAATTGGGTTTCCAAGACACCGAGTCAAGCCCGGTTAAGGGAAGTTAGTACCCGGATGGGTGACCTAAAACTTATACCTGTTTAAACTTTACAACTTTTTTTTAGTTACATTATTTTCCTTTTCTTTTCTTTTCTTTTCTTTTCTTTTCTTTCTTTTTTTTTTTTTTTTGCTTTTGGTTTTCAAAATAAAAAAATAAAAAAGAAGAAAAAGAAGAAGAAGAAGAAATAATAATAAGAAGAAATAATATTTACAAGATCATAATTTGTTAAGACGTTACGAAAAGTCGGTGGCATGCGTCATTTGAAAAAAAAAAGTCGAAAATTACGTGGTGAAATATCTTTAAAATTCTACAGTTTTTTCTTCGTAGAAAAATAAGGCAACTGACGCAATATAGAAAATATNTTTTTTTTTTTTTTTTGCTTTTGGTTTTCCGCTTTTTAAACCTACTTGAATCGATATCCTTTGCTCAGTCTCCAAATAGCAGATGAGCAACTGACAAAAGACTAATGGAGATGATTTCGATCAAATATAAATCGGTAAATTGGTTTACATCAAATCTAGTGCTGAATAATAAAACGTATACTTAAGAACTTCAGATACTAAAAAATAACAAGGTTACCGCGGTCGGTACCGCGCTAAATTCATTGGTTCAATCCAGAAGCATCTGGTTTTAATCGTTACTTATAACAGGGTGTACTGATTTTCATATCTCTAAGATAATGATTGTTATTCGTTGTGAATATGTTACGACGAGTTTTTGTTTTTGTTTTCTTGTAGATATTCAAATACTGAAGGAGACATCAAGCCAAGACGTCATATCTTGGAAAGGACACAAGATTCGCCTTCACTGCAACGTTAGAATCATCCCGAATACTATTAAAAAATTTACCTGGCGAAATAAGGGAACCAGTGGAACAATAGTCAACCCTTCAAAACAACGCGACACCGTGAATGGAAGTACGCTGACCATAGTTACCTTCAAGGATACGGACTTTGGACCTTATGAATGCGTTGCTAGGACACCAACCACAGAACAAAGACACGTGATTCGTATCAAGCGACTATGTGAGTCAAAATAATCTTCGATGGTATCTCTGTGTTGGCATAATTTGGAGTGGGAATGATTCCAGTAATGAGTAGTATATGAGGGCAATTCATTATGAGGGCAATCTTCATGCACCTCGTCCTAGTCCTTTCTATAAGACTCCAACAAGACACAGGGTTACCGAGTTAATATATTGGTACCGTTTTTGAAATCCACAGATGAGCCGTCGGAGCCTGGAAACTTTAGCCACAGTCGCCGGCTTGTCAAACGTCTAAACTGCACTGTTGTAGCAAAGGTGTCTTGGATGCCGCCCCTCAAACACGGAGGAGCTCCAGTCACTCACTATATCGTAGAGTATAAACCTTTTGGGCGGAAATGGAGCAAAGCATCGAAACAATTGGTTGACACAAATTATATCAAAATCTGCAGACCCCCACGTGATGAAGGGGGTGACGGCCTTCGTGTTCGTGTTAAAGCTAAAAATAAAGTGGGTGTCGGGAATTCATCACGAGCAACAATTGTCACCTTCTGGGGTAAGCTCAATACACTGTTAAAGTGCAAATGAACCCTT